TTGCACATACAAAAAGTATTTATGACTGTGATTAGCTGTTATTGTGAAACAAAATGTCCTTTTAGAAGAAATAATTGTAGATAAAATTTCTTTGATGTGTTTGAATTGTTTGTTTTTAATACACAATCAGTTCTTTTAACTAGTAAAATATGTTATGCTTGAGTGAAGCACTTTGGATCTCTTCCAGTCCTTAGGCCTAAAATTAGTGATTAATAATCGGTGGCTGCTTAGTTGGGTCACTACAACAGTTAACTCTGCCTAACAGACACAGTCAACTGATGGGTTGTATATGGCATATATATAATTGTAAAATACGTATGAGAAAATTTAAGCTTACACAGAGATTTAAATTTTTCACAGAAACTCAGATTTTACACATTGCTTTTTCCTTATGCAGTGAGTGTCTTCCAGGTCTGTTTAAACTGCTTTCTCTTAGGAGATGACTTCCGTGGGTTTTTCAGTACAAAAGCAGACCTTGATTGTTGGATGCAGTTTGAGAACCTATTGTCTGAGAGCTGTGCACCTTGCTGAAGTGAGGTCTTATTTGATCACACATGACAAATGCATGCTGCTTGTCACACCCATTTCATTCATAGCAGCGTGCAATTAGAGATAAAAATGGGGGAAATAAGACACTGGAAAATAAATATTTTCTTTGAAATCATGAACCAAGTATTAATGCTTTTGAAGTAAATGGAAATTTCGGGAATGTAGAATATTAGGAAGACAATGGCAATTCCTGTTTTGACAGTGACCACCACATCAGTGGTGTGTAATCTACTGCAGTGCATAAAATCTTGTGCTGGATGAATTTGGCATAATCAGGCTGCAGAGGATATTTCTTCCTAGTTTTCTTGGGTTTAATTGGTCTTTGTTTTCTAACCTTTGTGTAGATGTGATATCCACTGTCTGGAATGTTTTTTGACTCCTGTGGGTCTTATTTATCTCTGTTTCTTGAGAAAGATTCAAGATATACTGGTGATGTGTGAAAGATGGGAATTTTTACTTTTATTAAATACCCAACATTTTAATGTCACTAAATTGCAGGTGTTTGGTAGAAGGTGAATGAGAAAGTCTGATTTATTTTCCTTTTGTTGTCCTTTTATGTGCCACTAAGTTTTTCCTCCCTATATATATATATATATTTAAATTGGAGCCTCTACATCATTTTAATTCAGGTACTTTGTTGTATTTCAGAGTATTTTTACAGACTACTCCTGAATCCTTTCCTGTAAAGACAGTAAGTGGAATTGATTGTAACACTTCTAGTATCTCTTATTCCATACTTCATGTATCCTGTTCTTGTGTTTGCCAGACAGACTCCATGTAGACTTTCAGGTCTTCCTTCAGTGATGCATTTGGATTGATCTGTGTGCTCTGTATTTTATTGTAACAAGAAAAAAAATGAGTAGATATCTTTTAATTCAATCTTCTGAAGCATGTGTCTGCTAACCCTTTAAATATTAAAAATAAAACTTCAGTGGAATTTTTCACCCCCCCACCCTCCCTGCTTGTATGGAGTGAATAGATGCTGGAATGTTCCACCTCTCTGTGTGCACTCATTGTGCCATTTTTCTGAAAGCAAATAATTTTTAATACAAAAATGAAATTGCAATATACTCCCGAGCTTGTTGTATCCTAAATAGTGATTACGTGGATCTTTTTGCATCAAAATGTTTGTTATTAGCTGTTCAGTGGTTGGGAAGGATTGGTGAATAACTGGCTAGAGAGACAACAGCAATGCCACTTTAGCATCAAGTGGCTATTACCTCTTTTTCGCTTTGTACTAGGTCTGGCTGTGATGGAGTTAAACTTCTTCATAGCAGCCTGTACCATGCTGTGTTTTGGATCTGAGGCTGAAACAGTGTTGATAACACACCAGTATTTTGCATGTTGTTTTGTTAGCACAATGTCAAGGTTTTTTTTCCTCCCCCCCAACATTTGCTTCTCTATAGTGAGTAGGCATGGAGTGGGCAAGAGACTGGGATAACACGCCACTGGAACAGCTGACCAGAATTGGCCAGGGGCATAGTTCACACCATATAATGTCATGCTTAGCAATGAAAACTGGATTAGAGGAAGAAGAAGGGGTGAGGAGCATTGGCTTTCAAGGTGGCTGTTGCTTGGAGACTGGCTGAGCATTGCTGTGCTTGTGGAAGGTGGTGATTGATTTCCTTTGCATCACCTCCCTGCCTCCTTTCCTTCAGCTATTGAATTGTTCTTGTCCCAGACCCTAAGCATTCTCACTCTTTTTCTCTAGTGCATTCCCCCTCCTACTCAGGGAGGGTGGGGAGGCAGTGAGCAGCTGTGTGGATGCTTGGCTGCTGGCTAAAATCAACCTATCACACATCTGAAATGCAGTTGCATTAACTCCAAGACCATTTGAAACCTGTATTCTGGCAACATGGTGTTTGTCACAGATCAGAATGAAAGCTTGGTTTTGAGGTTATATACCAATATGTTCTCACTTTCATGCATAAAGCTGTTTGAGTTAGGAAATTTACAAAGATTATTAGCCAGTTTTTTGAGATACCTCTGTTAAATTTTTCTAGTGTCCTCTTGGACTGAGCAGTCCAGATCTCTCCGGTAAATCAAAACTTTCTTTTTCATTTAAAAAAAAAAAAAAAAAAGACAAACAAACAAACAAGAAGCAGCTGTGTTTTTAAATACTGTTTTTTGTTGTCAGGGATGTTGGTGGCTTAAATGCTCTGTGCTGATCTTTTGATCGGTCTATATGGAGGGCAGTTTCAGTATCAATGGAGAGCTGTTAACAGAAAAAAAAAAAGCGGCAAATATTGATCTAACTTCCCCCTTTCCTTTAAAACACAATTTTAGTTCTTTCCTAAAGCTGTATAGGAATCTTTAAAGCATTTTTGGACTGGATCTTGAGCTTCAGGATGTCTTACTATCTTTCTTCTGAAATAGAACAGTGAATCTCTTGAACCTAGGCCTACCATCACACTTGTGTGTCAACAAGGTTCATCTTAAGTCTAAGAAGTGGTACTAGCAGGGAAAAAATGGTCTTTAGAGTACCAGAAACTTTTGTTTTTCTTCCCTCTTCAAAATCTGGATAATAGAGGGGGTAATGTTACCAACATTAGAATCGCTTAAAAAAACTACTTAAGATCATGATACAGTAGTCACGTAGTACTTTCCTCCTTCTGGGAGCCTGCCATTGATTTATTTGTCATACCAACTTACAGAGTTTTTCCACATAGAGTTGTACAGCTGTCTGCATTGCAACAAGATAAGATTACCACAGTCTTAAGAACTGCCTATTGAGGAGTTCTACAGGTGTAAGCCATCCATCTGCTGATGAGTGAAAAGCCAGTTCTCTACCTTATTTTTCCTGTTGTTTGAGGTTGCATCAGTATACTTGCTCTTTGCAGAGCCCCAGCTTTAGGGCAGGATTCCTATAGCAGTTAGGCATACTGGCAGATGGAGCACAGAGAGATGCAAGAAAAACTTGCTGGATCAGATGCTTTCTGGATCAGCCATTGTGGAGATGCACCATAGTGCAAACTTCACCTTATTCTTGTGGGATTATTGGAATAGGATGCTGCTTAGGTGAACTCAGAACTGTGCTTTTGAAGCCCAAATCAGACTCTGCTCTTATGGAGAGGAACTGGATTTCAAAAGCAGAAGCCTCCTGTAGGATGTATTGAAATCTAAAGGAATCTAGAAATTACCTCATGAAGTAGGGTCTACAGATGAATGCAGATCTGTGTGACAGCATGTAAGTGTGTTTGAATAAGAAAGGTGTTGAGTAGATTTTACTTACTGCTTTAGCTTTGAACTTCTTCTTTTATGTATGTCTGAAAAGGCTATTGTAGTTGTTTATCTTCCAGGTAATAGTGGTCTTACTATTAGTCTTGACAAAAGCTTAAAGGCTTGTTCATGTTGAATAAATGAGACAGTTAAAACCTGTGGAGCCAAATATACTGCACGAGTTAATGTGGAGATTTTACACTGGTATTACTGTCATCCCTGTGTCTTCTGCTGCATTGTTTATTTTGCTTGATTGACAAATTCTGTATTATCAGAATAGAGTGAATTTATATGCTTATCCACATACATAGAAGTGATTATGCTGTGTTGTTAATAGAAGTGAAAGTAATTCATTTTGCAGCCACAGATTGTTTTGACTTCATTATTTTGAGAATATGTGAAGTCTAAATCACATCTTGTTATAAATTAGTGTTCAGGCCTATTTGGATCTGAAATGTTGGCACTGGTTAGAAAAGAACTTCCTTCTGCACTTCAGGAATTTCCATGCTAACTTAAAAATCCTTAAAAACAAAAAAATAGTTGCATATTTCTAGTAACCATTGTAGTCACTATCCTTTCTGCAGCTGGGATTCACAAATGAGTGACACTTGCATTTTTTTCATAGTAACTTTTCCCATGTTAAAAGACTGTGTATGGACTGAAGTAATTCAGTTGGTCAGTTCTGTTACCAAATGTCATTCTTGTTGGGCTTATAAATACATTTCTTAAAGGTAAAGTATTTTAATGACTTGATAGCATGATGAAATCATTCAGGTTTTGATACATAGTGGATAATTTTATGAATAGATGAACATCTTTAACAAGAGCACATGTTAAAGGATTATTTGATTTGGTATGTTTTGCTTAGAGTTAATGGTTGTATGTGCAGAATACAAACAATGGTACATTAACTGTAGACTTGCGCTCTGTAATTCAGCCAGAATCCACTAATAGTTCAGTTACTAGTTCATTGTATGTCAATGATCAGTGGGTCATAACTGACTTAATCTTCTGCTTTTTATTCTTTAGTGCCGCAAATTGACTGAACAAAATTAAGAACATGGAATATGGATGCAGTTGCTTGAGCACCATTTCTTCCAAAGTGTAAATTCAGCGGATTGTTGGCCTGAATGATTGATTGATAAGCAACAGACAGAAGACTAAGATCAAGAAAAAATTCTGGCTACTCATGCTCTGTTTGACAAAACTGATGCAGGTTCATATCTTCTGAAATGCAGTTGAAAAAAATGAGGGAAATTTTACCAAGATTATACTCTGGCCAAGTTAATGAAAAACATAGTTCCTTAACTACATCCCCAAAGCAATCTTCTGAGGATAAAACAAATCCATCAAAAGGGGATGGTCACCAAAACTGCTGTTACCAAGGGACTGAGGCTGAGAACAAGTTGACGCTGATAAGCTGTATAAGATGCAGAAGTGTTCAGAAAATTTCAGTGCAAGATGTTGAAAAGTGTAAGAAGCTTGGGTGGACTGAAGACAAAAATTTCATCTGCAAGAAGTGTAGTCTTGCTACACCACCAGCTTTCCATTTTGTTCCTGAGGGTGCCAATGCTGTAGAGTTGGAAAAACATGAAAAAAAATCTCCAAGTAAAGCCCAGAGAAGATTTAAAGTAAAAAACTTTCTGCCAGGTAAATACTACTGTGATAAATGTAGATTTTCAACAAAGGATCCTTTACAATATAAAAAGCATGTAGGTCAACATGAAGAAATTAAATTTATTTGTTCTCACTGTAGTTATATATCCTACACCAAAGGAGAATTCCAGAGACATTTGGTGAAGCATACAGGAACGTTTCCGTATCAGTGTGAATACTGTGAATATGGTGCTGTTAGACATGACTATATAGTGAAACATACCAGGAGAGTACATGAAATGCCCACTAAACGGCTGTCAAATACTATCGTAAACCACAAACAACAGAAGCTGAGTCAAAGCACTTTATTTGAAAAGCAGAAATATAGTAAAACTCCTTTTCAGAATGAACTTTCAAATTTGTCTTCAAAAATGGTTTGTGAGACTCCAAGTCTAGCAAGTAAAAGAGCCTATTTGTCTCATGATGTAGAATGTAGCATAAACACAGCATCTCTCCAGGGTAAAACAGCATTGGAGCCATCTGAAATAAATGTATGTGAGAATCAAAGTGTGGAAGTTGAGGTTTCTTCTCCAAAATTGGAGCCTTTACAACCTGGGATGCCTTTAACAGTAATTGCACCATCTGAACTTGTAGTTCCTTCTAACTGTTTAGCTCAGATAGTAGAGATTAAAATAGTGAATGGAGCACAACAGCTGGTTCTTAAACTAATTCCTATGAAAGATGCAACTTACAAACCTGTGAACAGTGGTGAAGAGGAACTTGAGAATCAAGGTATAGAACCATCTGCAGAAGGAAAAAAACCATCTGTATCTCAAAATGAGTTACTGACCATGGAAGTGAATGTAGACAAATCATCCAGTGTTAGTAACCAGGTTAATTTGGATAGTACCTATGACAAGAATTCTGAATGTCTTTGTTTTTCTGATTCTCAACTCTCAGACTGTAATCCTCTGTCTGTACAGAGGGAAGATGCATCAAAATTCTGCTTTCATTTGGTGAAAGGTATTGATGTCCATTCTGGTGTTTTTGAACTTTGTCCTCCGTCTCTGGTGATGAATAACACTGAAAAAAAAAGTGAGCTTAAATCCTCAAGGTGGGAAGTAGATGGAAAAAATAATTTAGATTATGACTTGTGTTGCTGTGAAGAACGCGTGGATATACCACCTCCAAAATATGCTGCTATTTCTGAAGATAAATGTTCAAAGAACATTTCAGTAGAGGCTTTGCAGGAGGGCAGCAATTATTCTTCTGCAGTCCTTAAACGAAAGGATACGTTGCCTCTCAAGAGGGATGACAAAGAGTGTAGGAGTCTGCCAGTCAAGTCTACAGGTACACATTTAGCTGGTAAATGTTTTAATAAAAACTCTCTTAAATTTTCTGAAGCAGGAAAAAAAAATCATGTCACTAAAACTCCACCTTGCGAGAACAAGACTTTTGGCTTTAGCAAAGTACGGAGAGCTGAAACTATAAGCCAAAAGAGCAATCTTCTTCTGGAATCATTAGAATTACAGAAGATGGAAAATAAAGGCAAGCCTTTTGAAGGACCTGTTATTTCATCTGTATTTTCTCTTAGCTCTGGGGCTGAAAATGTCCCAGAGGATGTCAGATGGGATGACACAACATGCAATAAGAAGTCAGCAACGTTGTTGTGTAGAAAGATTGCTCAACTAATGTCTGCTGCTGAATCTAACATGAAATCCATGCCTTTGAGATGTGAAGGTTCTAGTAAAAAGGTGCTTTTCCCTCAAGAAAATTCAGCAAGCTGCGATAGGGTTGTTACTGCCACTGAAGTGGAACAATCTGTGTCTCTGCCTCAAGTGCATGTTGGAAACAGTGTTAGTAGTAGTGAAGAACATAGTAAACATCACCTACTTTCATTTGCAAGAACATCTAAAAGCAGGGTAACTAAAAATTCTCATGTTGCTACTCCAGTGTTTATCCCCAAAGGGACAATGCTGAGAGTGCTGAATGCTACTAGCAGTCAAAAGTCAAATGGAATAGAAAACAGTGAAACATCAGCTCCTTCTGTGTATTGCAATGAAATGTTTCTGCCTCGCCCGGTTCCCGTCAGTGTTTCTGAGCTCAGCAGTAACTTACCATGTTTGCCTAATCAGAGTGAAACGAATGCTGACTTCCAAAGTAAATCACTCAGGCAAAGACCAAAGCGAGAGGCAAGTGTTAAAAATAATGGCAAACAAACTGGTGTACTGTTTCAGAAAAACAGTGATGTGAGTAAGCAAAGCAAACCCTATTCAAAAAGTCAACTAGGTCCCAAAAATAAAGCGAAACAAGGGAACTTCAGGGAGCTTCCTAAGAGGAAAACAAGAACACAATCGGAAACCAGTTCAAGTTCTGACATGTCATATCTATTGACAGCAAGGCGGCTTCGGCTTGTCCCTCTGAGAATGAATCAGCTGATAAAATGCCCTCGTCGTAACCAGCCAGTTGTGGTACTAAACCATCCTGATGTTGATTCACCAGAGATAATTAATGTCATGAAGACTATCAACAAGTATAAAGGTCAAGTCCTGAAAGTGGTCCTATCAGAAAGGACAAGTAGTTGTCTTGGTGTCAAACGTTACCGAAAGCGTCTTACTCTTCAGAATGTTGAGACAGGAAACCAAGCAAAAAAGCAGAGTATGCTGAAAATGAAACTAAAAAAGACCCATAAAAACAACTACCAAGTGGTGGAAACTTCACCAGCTGAAACAGTTCAGTCTATGTTTAAGTGTTGGTTTTGTGGAAGAGTATATATGGACCAAGAAGAATGGATAAGTCATGGACAGAGACACTTGATAGAGGCAACCAAGGGTTGGGATATTCTTTCTCTTCCAGCAAAAAAACATTAATTGAGAGACCTGGGGGGGGGGGGGGGGGGGTGCTCCTGTGGTTTTTTT